ATGGTTGAAGTACCAGTCGTACATCAGATGCTTCGAGAGGTCGAGAACGCTCATGCCCACGAAGACCGGCCGGTTGAGCAGCAGACTGCTTTTATTCATGTGAACGGGCTGCGAGGTCTCCCGCATCGCGAAAGATGAGATGCCGATTGAATGTCGGCTTGGCGATAAGTTGCGGAGTCTTCCGGAGTTCGGTGTTTTTCCGGATGTAGGGCTCCATCCATGGGCTTTGATCGAAGCGGAGTGCCCCTGTGGATCTTTTTCAGGAGCATGCCAAGCTGCAGATAAAGCTGCAGATTCCGATAGTGCAGGACGTATCGGGTCTTGTCGCGCAGATTGGGGACCAGCTTTTCGACCTCGTGAGACGCACCCCCATACATCTGTTTGAGGAGATTTTGCTGGTAATCCGACATCCACGCGTTGTCGACCTTCAGGCGCTCTGGCGCTAACGGATATGCATTGTGCTCGTCATGCAGGTCTTCTGGGTACTCCAGATCGACTTCGAGAATGTAAGGCTGCGTTTACACGATACCGGATAAGTTTTAATCCGGATTAAATTTGTGACGGATAGGCCCTGCGTTTACACGGATCCGCTCTGATCCGTGCAAGTTTTGTGTCGGCTAAGCGGTCCAATTTTGTACCTGAAAAATCGAGGTACAATTCTGTGCCGGTACTGTTCCATTCTATATCAGTTACCGTGTAAACGGTTTAACCAGGTAAGTTTTTAACCGTTTTCACTGGTATTCGACAAAACAGTGAGTCAGTGCTCAGTCAATATTTGTTTAATACTGCATTTTCCAACATGAGACAGATTCTGATGAGCATTTTTGCATTTATTTTTGGTGCTGTGGCGACGTTGAACGTTGTTTATGAACTGGCGTTGGTAAATTTGGTAAATTATCGAAGGCAAAGACAAAGGTAAACGCTTGATGACAAACGGAGATATGTCGTTCTTTGCATCTGAAATACAGCATAAGTTTTGGATTTACGGCAGAAAATAAATAACGCAGTATTGTAATCCACACATATTATGACAAAACTTACTGGCTTATTCACTCAAAAGTTTGCTTCATTTATTTTCAATTCTCTTTTTAAGGTATGCTACATTGCTGACACAGTCGTCGATCGTTAGAGGGAAGAAAATAAAAAGTAAAAGAAAGGCAAAAGGATGTTGGGTGAGGCCTGGGAGAACATCTCTGTGGTGGGAAAATTTCTTATCCGGTGCTGTAGTAGGTCATGAATGGAGAGAGAACTTTAGGATGTCACAAGACAATTTCATGAAACTGTGCAACAAAGTCAGAATCCCACTTCAAAAGAAAGTCACGAATATGCGTGTTCCTACATCTGTTGAGAAGCAAGTTGCTATGACTTTATACTATCTTGCTGATGAAGGAAGATTACGAAAAGTTGCAAATGCATTTGGCGTTTCCAGATCAACTGTATCATTGGCTATTAGAAGAGTATGTTTTGTAATTTCCACCGTATTAGGTCCTGAGTACATCAGATTACCTCAAAAAGAACATGATGTATTTGAAGCTGTCTCAAATTTTTATGAAAAACATGGCTTTCCACAATGTATTGGTGCTGTAGATGGCACTCATATCTTTATTAAACAACCAGCCAACAATGCAAGTGATTTCATCAATAGGAAGCATAGATATTCACTGAATGTGCAAGCTATTGCAGACTACAAGTATTGTTTTCTAGATGTTGTGGTCAAATGGCCGGGGAGTGTGCATGATTCAAGGATATTTTGTAACTCAAAAGTAAATGAGATGTTAAAAGAAGGTTCAATTCCCAGTTTGCCAAGAGTCCTATTGCCAGGCACTGAACCTGTTGGAATTTGCATTCTTGGAGATCCGGCATATCCTTTACTCCCTTATTTGATGAAGGAATTTCCTGGTGGGGGCAAGACTGCACAGGAACAATTTTTTTGGGTATCGACTTTGTTCAGCCAGAATGATTATTGAATGTGCCTTTGGACGCCTGAAGAGTAGATTTGGGTGTCTGAAGCGTGAAATGGACATAAACCTTGCTGATTTGCCAAATGTTATTTACAGCTGTTTTGTATTGCACAATTATTGTGAAATGAATGGTGAGATAATAGCTAATGAAAGAGTAGATAATGCAATAACTTATGACAGAGAAGTTCAACCTGCATCTTCAAGTGTACGGAATCAAGGATGTGAGGCTTCAGCAAAGGCAGTAAGAGACATTTTTGTGCAGTATTTTGATTAGAGATTATATCTACAAACACCTTATTGAACAGACTTTACTGATAATAATATACTTGTACAAAGATGATTTAATTGTTCTTGTACATACAATAATCCATTAGTTGCATTTTAAGTAATAAAATTATTGACAAAAACATGACAAAAAAAGGCAATTTAAAACTGTTTAAAATTATATAAGTACTTTGTCTAAAAAGTATATTCATAATAATAGTTTTTGTGCAATATTTAAGCAATGTATTACATTAGATTAAACAATGGCAACCCTAACACTAACAAATGTATGTTGAAGTATACCTATTAAAAGAATAGAAATCCTGGTTCTATGACTTTGAAAACGGTATAAAATTATCATTGGTATTACTATGGCTAGACTCGCCATTGTTATTAGTTGACATAGCCGCTTGTTGGTATCTCCATGGTTGTTGAAAATTTGGAAAGTTAAATTGATTTGGTTGCTGTTGAAGTGATGCAAGCAATGCAAACCCATGACTTAGTGTATCATTAAGTGATGAAATTCCTTTGGCAAACGCAGTCATGTTTTCTTGGTGCTTCTGTTCAGCTTTTTCCATTTGTTCCACAATCCAGTTCTTAAGACTTAAATCTTCCTTCGCCATGGCTATCATCTGTTTCTCAGCAGGTATTTTCTTATTTAACTTTGAATTTTTCTTTTGTTGTACTTTTGAGATGAGATTCCTTCTAGCTTCACTTACCCTACTTATTGCATCAGTATTTAAAATCACTTGTTGAGCAGAATTGTCGAGTGTTTCACTGCTTACATCAGAAAGCTGAACACACGATTTATTTGATACTCCAGAAAGAGAGTCTTCGGAATCACTGACAGTTTCGGATGTGCTTGGTATGCTTTCTCGAGCATTCGATATTGCTTCTACTGCTGGGCTCCCACACCAAATACTAGCACATTCATCGTATAAAACAGCTACAACTCTACCGCCTCCGCTGCGTCTTCCAGAATCAACTGCTTTTCGAAAACAAAGTTTAATTCTTTTGGTTTTAGCTATTATTCGACTTTTGGTAAAAACGCTTGATATCGTATCATTAACATGTGGAAATCCTTCCGAATTTTCTATGGGATATTAAACGCTCGAGGTATCTTTCGCGAATTTCATCGTATTTCGATTTAACAGACTCCCAGTCTACACCTTCATTTTCTTTATCTACCTTATAGGCAGCAATCACATCAAAAAGAAGAGCCATCTCCTCGTCCGACCAAGTAAAATTCTTTTCTTCTGACTCGGACGATTTTTTCCTTTTAGCAACGGTAGCCATTTTTCTCTCATGCTATCATTGCACATGCGCGGTACTCGAAACTTTTATTTCTCTCATAAATGTACAGGTTCCGTGTAAACAGAACGAATCCGTCACAAATTTAATCCGGATTAAAACTTATCCGGTACCGTGTAAACGCAGCTGGTTCAGGGCCGCCTTGACATCCTCTTGGGCAACCCACTCGAACGCGCCTGTCGGCAGCGGCTGCGACATTGCCCAGCCGTACAGGTTATTGGCGTCGTAGTACTGGATCCAGCATTGGGGCTTCCCCGGATCGTAGTCTGGCACCTTGGGGTTGTTGGCCTTGGCGAAGCGCCTGCTGACCATGCTGATGCCGCCGCGCAGGCCCTTCTCGATAAAGAGATGCATGTCGATGTCGGTGAGCAGCTCGAGCTCAACCCCTATGTGCTTGAGGAGAGCGTCCCAGCTTAGGCCCGGGCTGGTGTGGGCCGGGTCTAGCCGGTATCGCTCGAGGCACAGCTTTCGAAAGTTTTCGAAGACGTCGGCGAGGAGGAGGACATTGGTCCGAAGAGGTCGTGGTAGTCGCCGAGGCTTGTGCAGCCAAAGGCATCCCGAACCCTTTTTCCGTGGGCGTAGTCGCCGTCGGTAATGCCTTCGCCCGAGAGCTTGCTGTAGAAAGCCTCCTTCGGCGGGAGGGCCTCCTCGTCGAATCGGGACCAGCCGTCCATGTACTCGTAAGGGTAGAGCCCCTTCCGGAGCAAGAGGGTACGCCTCTGGAGGTTCGGCTAGTAGTCTGCTGTGATGCGCATGTCTCGCGGGTCGCTGGCTTCCAACAGGCCATCCAGGCTTGAGAGCATGAACTGGGCGCTGTCGATAAATCAAAGCTGGCCGATACTGAACGAGATGTATTTCTCAGCGTTGTTAGAGATGCAGGTGACCTTCCCTTCAGTCTCTGCTAGCCCCGCAGGTTGTGGAAGACAACCGGTATGATTGTCGTCTTCGGGCTGAGCCGCAACTTCAGGTTGCACTCATTGTGGGCCGCACCTCAGTACTTGCCAGTAATGTAGCAGTGGTCAAAAACTAGGTCAGTCCTGTTTGATTTACAAAGAAAATAAAACTGAAATTTTAGCGTAAAAAACATTTGCATACAAACGAAAGGCAAATAAATGGCACTTGTACATTATGCGCACCCAGGTTGGGAAGGCGTTGGAGTCTATTTATGCCGTGGGCCTCGGTTGAGAAAACTGTGTGCTGAAAATTTTTGTCATAAACACTTTAAGCAAAACCAAAAGTCAATTGAGAAAACTGTGTGCTGAAAATTTTTGTCATAAACACTTTAAGCAAAACCAAAAGTCAATTGAGAAAACTGTGTGCTGAAAATTTTTGTCATAAACACTTTGAGCAAAGCATTATTGAAAAACCACTTTCAGGTCTTGTCACGCCGAATATCGACAGAATATAACTAAAATATTGAGCATATAACTTACCTACGTTCCTCTTTGCAATGTTCACCTGTAGCTTTCAACGTCGTCAATGTGTCACACAACAAAGCACCACTAAAGGCAGATTCTAACAAAACTCCCATGGTTGTTGGTGGTATTAGTTTCTTTATTATTCTCAGCCTTGTTGTCGTTGTTGCCGTTATTCTTTATAAACGAAAGAAAGCTTATGGAGGATTTTACATTCTAACCATGCCTCCGCTTACTGACTACATCAAAAAGTTAGATCCACACACACCGATCACGAAGCAAACCAACAAGTTACCTTATGATACGGAATGGGAGTTTCCAAGAAACAGACTAAATTTCGGTAAGTGTGCTTTATCGCTACTATGTGCATCGATATGGCATGAGTGCACGCGGACCTTTAGAAAATAGGTACAACTGCTTGATGTTTGATTTCTGAGGAAAGAGTTTCAATGTTTAGGAACACAAGTGAAAAGCCACTGTTGAGGGGTCAAAAATTTTTAATGGTCTTGGAAAGAGGTGTCTATCGCAAAACAATACATATCTAGATTTTGTTGTTTGTTTGCTAAAGGTCTGCAATTTTTTTATTTGTTTCGGACCGCATTAGTGCTATTAGGACAATCACGTTTGTATTTAAACGCTAGTTGTGCTAGTACAAAGTTTACTATATAATCAACATTCTGTAAATTGAAGATTGTTTGTAAATTTTTTGCAGCTCGAGAACTTGGCTCCGGTGCATTTGGCAAAGTATTTTTGGCGGATGCAATGGGAATTGGTGCGTTTGATCCTCGTGGTAGCACTAAAAGAAAATCAACTAGACGTCGTTTTGGTGGATCCGTTCGACGAAATCATTCCGTGAACAACAACAAAATGGCAAAAGTTGCCGTAAAAACTCTTAAAGGTATTTTTTCACTCACTATGCAGAAAGTCATTGTTGAGAAAACCGTCCTTGTTATATTAATTTTGGTCGTGTCAACGGGCCGCAAGTTGGGATTTTGGCTCATTTAAAATGATGCGTTAGTGTTTACGTCTGGAAGACATGACATGTATTTATATTGAGAATTCTGGTGAAGATTTTGGATTTTATAGAATTTTCTCTTCTCGTCATCCTACAAATTTCACTCACGTTTTTTCTGTGCTTGATCTTTCAAATATTATTACGGCAAATCGGTATTACGTTATTCTTAATGCAGTGCAATAAAATAACTGGGAAAATATTCATTTCAGAGGACAGTGGCGAAACGGAATACAAAGATCTGTTATCGGAGTTAAAAATTCTCATCCATGTTGGCGAACACAAGAATATCGTAAACTTATTGGGTGCATGTACTGAAGGTATGTCTATAAAACTGTCTTTTACTCTTTTACTTAGCGAATGTTCATTCATTAAGTTATTTAAGATATGCATTGATTAAGTTTATGTTGTTGACTAAGGATTAGAATGCGCTGAACTTCTTATACAATGTTTTTATTTTTGAATATGGAGTCTTTTGTATTTTTATATTATTTATTTTTGTAATGTGGTTCACTAAAATTTATAGATTTTTTTATGTATTTGGTGTTATGAAAGGTTCAAGTTTTGGATTCAATGCGTAGCCACTTTATGGCCAATTTTCAATCTTTCAGGTCGAAAAAGTGAGCTCTGGGTGATCATAGAGTATTGTTCAAATGGAAATCTGCTTCAATTTTTGAGAAATCGCCGTGAAATCTATGAAATGGAATGGAAATGTGTTTCTAAAGATCCAAATAATCAACTAACGATGACGGACCTTGTTATTGCTGCTTATCAAGTTGCAAGAGGAATGGAGTTTCTTGCTTCGAGACTAGTAAGTATATGTTCTCCTTCATTCTTGCTTCGAGACTAGTAAGTATATGTTCTCCTTCATTCTTGCTTCGAGACTAGTAAGTATATGTTCTCCTTCATTCTTGCTTCGAGACTAGTAAGTATATGTTCTCCTTCATTCTTGCTTCGAGACTAGTAAGTATATGTTCTCCTTCATTCTTGCTTCGAGACTAGTAAGTATATGTTCTCCTTCATTCTTGCTTGAGACTAGTAAGTATATGTTCTCCTTCATTCTTGCTTCGAGACTAGTAAGTATATGTTCTCCTTCATTCTTGCTTCGAGACTAGTAAGTATATGTTCTCCTTCATTCTTGCTTCGAGACTAGTAAGTATATGTTCTCCTTCATTCTTGCTTCGAGACTAGTAAGTATATGTTCTCCTTCATTCTTGCTTCGAGACTAGTAAGTAAATGTTCTCCTTCATTCTTGCTTCGAGACTAGTAAGTAAATGTTCTGCTTCATTCTTGCTTCAAGACTAGTAAGTACATGTTCTCCTTCATAGTCTTTCCATGTAAAAATTTATCGCTAAAATTTATGGATAAACAACTGAAAGTGTTTTGTATACTATTTACTTACGAACTTTTTCTTTTCTAGTGTATTCACAGGGATTTAGCAACCAGGAATATCTTAGTTACTGATAACTACGTCATCAAAATCGCCGATTTTGGTCTTGCCCGTGATGCGGGCGAAGACAGTCAACATATTAAGACTTCCACCGTGAGTAAATACTGTTTTGTAAAAATGTATATTGATTTGCTTATTTTTTCTGAACAGATACAGTATTAACTTGCACAACTATGGTTTTGTAATCATTTTTTGTGTAGCAACATTAAAAAGCAACACAATCTTTATATGTATCTTTATTCAGTTCTCATACCTGATGTTTTGATCCTACTGTACTTTTGCAGGGATTACTACCAGTGAAATGGATGGCTATTGAGGCAATTATTCAAAGACTCTTCACCGAAAAGAGCGATGTGTAAGTTGTAGAATAGTGAAGTGAATGAAGTCCATGCATTGAAGACTATGTTAATTTTCGGCAAATTATCACACTCCTTCATGCCTAATTTTTTTTCTTCTGTATGTAGTTGGTCATTTGGTATTGTATTGTGGGAATTGTTCACATTAGGTAACTACTGTGTTTCTATAATATTTAATTTGGATTTGATGCTTGCTTCCTGTTCAAATGTTTTTCTTATTTTTTGATATCATTGAAATAATGATTTCATGACTATTTTGTTTATGTACAGGTGGCACACCTTATCCTGGTGTTCCTCCAACTGAGGTTGCAGATTTACTTGCACGCGGGCATAGAATGGAACCGCCTCATGCATGTCCTGAAGAAATGTAAGAATTTATGTCAAAATTCTTCGTAGGATATTAATTCACTCAGTTTAAGATTTACTTTATTTCATGCAGATCGACACTTATGATGGAATGTTGGCATGCGGATAAAGATTGTAGGCCTACATTTTCAGAACTTGTTAAAATCCTCGACAAAATTATCGAACTTCATACTTCATCTGAGGTTGGTAATTTACTTTGCCTCTAGTTTCTCGAACTTATTGAAATGCTTAACGAAATTATTGAGCTTTATACTTCGTCTGAGGTGTGTAATTGACGTTGTATCTTGATATGCGTCGTGTCTTAAAATAGAAATTATTAATGTCGGGAAATAGGCGTGTATGTGTTGTGGCATCGCTTAGGGATCCTGGAAGGGGCAGGTATCTCCATAAATTTTTATGCCCACTCTTCCATTTGAATTTCATCAAATATTTTCAGGCCTTGTCCACAAAGAAATTATCTTTCTAACTTGTTTCCCCCTCCCCCATCTTGGAGAGTCTACGCCATTGTTTGTATGCTTCTTGTTGCTCAACATTCATCTCTTCGACAGGGAGGTCAAGGGTACCTCGAGGTACAAGGTGAACTAATGAACGACTATTTATCGCCATCCGAGGTGAAGACTCCAGAAATGGATCCATTTCAATGCAATTCTCCCTTACCACCAGTTCCATCGCCGGCTGATAACGAAAGTCTTGCGCATTTACCAAGAGATCAAAATGCGACGAGGGATAAATTCCGTTTTGACAAAGGATTTGGTAATAAAGGAAGAAAGGATAGCGAAATTGAGAAAATGCATAATGATCGTAAACCGGAAATGCCGAAGCATTCAGATGTAAATTTGTAAGTTTGTCTAAAAGTTGTTAGTGATTAGAAAATATCAATTGCCGTCCCAATTTCACTTTGGCATACACTAGGGGATTTTTGAAAAAAGTTAAAACGTAATTAGCAATTTTATTTTAAAATAGATCACTTTCTATTAGTTTGATCTCTTGTATCTATTTGTTCTTCCATGAATGATTTACATTTCAAGTACATAAATTACCGTTTAAACAGTAAATAATTTGATATAAATATCAATTTTTGGCAGTATTTGTCGTTCAACATTTTGTAGGCAGAATATACCAGGCTCTTGTTTTGCTTAAGAGTATTAAAATGTGTTGAGTGGCCGACAGTCATTGTTGAGTGGCCAACAGTCATTGTTGAGTGGCCAACAGTCATTGTTGAGTGGCCGACAGTCATTGTTGAGTGGCCGACAGTCATTGTTGATGCTCGCTTTAATGAAAGTTGACTGGGTGTTGAAAGAGATTTTGATAGGGTAGCTTATCGAGAGAGAATTTATTAAGCAGTTTATTTATAGAGAGAATTCCCCCGATAGTCTATAGAGAATATATCCCCATTTAAACTCCATAGAAATAATACAACGTACAGCCCGAAGAGAGACTTCACCGTATAGACGTGAAGAAGTAATTTTTTGTTTTTAGTTTCCCTGAAAATTCACCCAATAATCATAATGGTGGGAAAATAATTATGAAAGAGAAGACAATAGATGAACACTTTACAGAAAAAGACCGCGACTCGTCGGAGGAGAAAGAACATCATCCGTATTATGCTAATTTGCACAAGTCATATGTGTAAACTGGGGAATGCAAATTTGAAAAACAGTTCGTTATTGCAAAGAAAGAGAAAAGCTACCAACAGAACTTTGCCATCGTGTTTATGTAATATTATTTTTAATGTGTTGTGTTTTCGAGCGCCAAAAATAAGAAGTATCAACTCAAAATATGCTAAGCATTTAAATTGTAAATATATTCTCGGAATTGGAACCAATCTCCACAGTTCTACCTATCTCCTATGTTGATATAATATGCTCTTGTGTTTCACCACCAACATGGCGGTCAAATGTGTTCATATATTATTCATGTGTCATGTGTTCATGTATTATCAGCAATATGCTTTTCGCAAAATGACTATTGCTCTCTATTTTTTTCATAGAGATAAGAGACGATATAGTAAGAGACGACTTCTGGCGGTTTGCTAATGTAAGTTTTCCCTGCTGTTAGACACTCTTTCAGGAATCCGTTGCTGTCACTTTCGATGCGCGACAATGTTGAATGCTTATCCTGTTTCATATCGTCTCGCAGGCTTTTGCTCAACGTATGAGCCAGTTCCCAAAACTTCTTGTAAGATATTGATAGTGGAAGATTGTAGGTCAATGCACCGAAATGACACGCTACGTAATCAGGTGGAAGTCTAGGTATGTGGTCTGAACCGACTTGCGTCAGACATGTTATATAATTCGTGCTGGTCAAAGGCAATCCAATGACGTTGATACGGTTTTGAAATGAAAAATGACAGGCAGCAAGGAGGGTCCCTGTAATGGTACTTTTGTTTCTTCGGCATTCTTGAATAAGGTGTCGTGTCCAATCGGCGGGGATTTTACGAATGATGACTTTTGTTTTTGGTGCTTGCTTGTGGGTGTTATCTTCAATGGTGGGAATGTGTGATAGCACTGGATTTATGTAGTCAGATGATAAAATATACGAACTGTTTATGTGTTGAAGTTTGTGCGACAAAAGTTATGCCGAATTAGGATATAATGGAGCGCTTGTAATATCTTCCAGACTTGGGGCTGTTCCTTTGTAAGTATTCCAGTGTTTGTCGTAAGACAACAGCCAAACTTGGTGCGTTTGCAATAGCATGTGAAATTGCCAAGACTATTCCTCCTTTGTATGTGCGAGTGTGGCAATTGAAATATCCAGGAATTAAAACAACTTTCCATAGATCTCCATCATTCGCTTCCAAATTTGTATTTTGAAACACCTCTTCTGTAATATCTTCAATCTCGTCGATTTTCTTGTTCATAATGGAAAGTTTAAAGTTTTCATGTCGGTCGTCGCAAATGAATTCTTTTGATTCCATTGTTTCTCTGATTGTTGCACGCAACAAGGGATGCTTTTGCGAGACCATTTGAAGAGCTTTTCGCAAGGCATTCACTTCTATGGGGATTTTAGAACTTATTGGTGTCAGAAGATAAGAGAATCCAATTCCTTTTTTGTAAAATTCATGGAAAAGAGATTCAAGGCCGTCAAGGGGCCTCATTTCTTTGATATCAGTCTGTCTATTTGTCTTTTGTACCACAGGCTGAGAAAAAAAACGCTTCGCACAAATGCGTGCGCTTTTAAGAAATTTGCTCATCATCAATGATACTTGATAGTGCTGTGAAAAGTACAGGATTGGGAATGATGCTAAATTTTGGTCCGCTGGCCTATTTATTGTAATAATTCCAAATCATATGATTGGATGCATATAATCATGTGATCATTGGAAAATCAAAAAATTCCCAATTTGTGGACGACAAGCGCAAGGTGTCCCCCAACAACTAAATATTTTCAAATGGTTCAAATTGAATTAAAATTTAGAGAGTTTGCTTTTGCGCATTTCGAGTATATGTCTAGTCGCGGGTTGCAGTCAAAAATTCGCTTGTTCGCAGATAAGGGAGGTTTTACAAAATTTCGCTAACATTCTCTTTTCTGATGAAAGAGTTTAAAGGAAAGAAGTATTATTGGTTTGGAGAGCATTACATTTGAAATTTTCTTACTCTTGAAAATGTAAGTATTTACACCAAAAACCATGACCAGCAGACAAATTAAAGAAATATAATATAAAACAAATTCCTAACAAACAATACATCTTGAGATTGCAAAATATGCATCAAAACAAGACGAGAAGTGAACCGTAAATTTTCGACTTTATTTCAAAGTCATCCTCAGACAGAATTGATGAATTTGTTTTATATAATGTAAGTATTTACGATATAGATTATAAGATTTTGATATATATTATATGTTTATATACTTTCAACTTTTGACATTATCTCCCTTTTCATGATCAAGAACGTCAACGTCCTGCTGTGTTATTTTACATCGTCTGAAATTTGTAAATACCGTCACGTACGATTTTTTTTCTTCTTATCTTGACTCCTATTGATATTAGGGACAAGGGAAAGTCAGTTAGCTAGCATGCATTTATTCACTCATTTGTGCATCATTAACTTTATTTACACTGGGAAAACAAAAAGTTCAAAATACATTTATAGGATTTAAAAGGTAGACACTGTTTTCCTTTGTAACTTTGTGTGGAAGTAGGTTCTTTTAAAATATGGTGATTCCAGGCTTATTTCAAACGTCAAGAATGATGATTATCTAGGAGGTTTCAGTAACTTGTTAGTTGTTACTGCTGTAGGTTGTTACTAAAAACTTTACGGCAGTAGGTTTTAGTAAACAAATCTTAGCAATTATGAAGTATTTTTATGTTTGTTCATAGGAAGAAAAATATACTTGAAAGTTCAATTACACCTTTTTCTTTTCATATAAACATTCGTTAAAATATAACATTCATTTTTGTGTTTATTGTTCACACTGTTGATTGCACATTTTTTGCATTTGAATGCCTGTCTGTGCAATTGAATGTTTGTGAATATGCTGAATTTCTAAATGAATGTGTTTTTCCTTTATGTCTGTGTGTAGCTTGGACTGTTTGGTGCAATTGACGGTATTTTTGCGCTATTGATGGCATAGAGGTGTAAATAATTGAATACTTCTCCCTTGTTGACCAGGAAAACGTGTATTGGATTAGTTTTGCATGTAATTGTCTTTCAAGAGTCGAATTAGGGGGTGTTTACATGAATCCGGAATGAGTTTCGAACCGGAATGAACTCATTCCACTTTAAAAGAAATCCTATTGCATGTTTACATGAATCCGGAATGAGTCACAACTCGATCCGGATCGAGTTCATTCCTAGTTTCATTCCGGATCGAAATTTCATTCCGGATCGAAATTTACTTTTTATCTCATGTAAACGCGAATTGAGTTTCATTCTGGAATGATATGGTGATTAATGACGAAGCACGCATGTGCCATGGGTATTGTCTTCTGGCAAATTGAAGCTCATAAGTAAATAAAGAGGCTAAATGGGTTAAAATGAGTGCGAAGAAAAACAACAATTAGTTTCATGTAAACACGGATTGACATCACGTTTCGATCGGGATTGAAAGTCATTCCGGATTCATGTAAACACCCCCTTATAATCTCAATGGACCAAACTAGAGACGAACAATATGTCTACTATCTTACATTCGAGTAGAGTGATACCTAGATAGTGTAGTTCAGTGGAGTAGGCAGTCGAATTATAATCTCAATAGACCAACTAGAGACGAGCAATTTTTCTACTGTTGTATATTTGAGTAGAGTGATACGTAGATGGTGCATATAGTTCAGGGGAGAACGCAGGTTTAGTGAAAAGGAAGAAAAAATCACTTAATTATTGCCTCTTTTGCTTCCTTCAGGCTATGTCCCTGTAATTTCAAATGGAACCGAACAGAAGTAAATAGTTTGAATTATACGAATGATACGTAGAGAAACCAAAAATTCTTTATTATAACCACAATGCTCGTCTCGTAGATAGGAATTGATAACGTGAAGTTGTTTATACATACTGCTATATCAACATTGGTTCAAACTAGTTAATATAACGTACAAACACGAAACTGAACAATAGTAGATCGCCGTAAGTCTTACAACTAATAGATCTAAAAGACGTTTATATAGAATAAATATGCAATAATGTGTAATAAAGAGTCAAACTAATTTAATCTCGTGGTTCACCGTATACAACATCTTTTACAACACAATCCGTCTCTGGATCAGAAATTCTATGTGAACGAAGAGCAAAAGTTTAAGGCTGAAATAAAACCTCTGAATTATAAGACATCTTCATAGATTTCTACATACTTACAAGTCTAACAAGAATAATGAAATATCTATAATTATTACGGACAACCTCTCCCAGCAGTGAGTTATGGCTACATCGAGCTTTGAAAACAAAATCGCCACAAATTAACGTTCGATTAAATGCAAGAGAAATCTCAAAAAGTTGTATAATCTGAAGTAATACTGAAGTAATATAATCGATCGTCCATGCTTGAGATTTCTCGACTGGATGTAGAATAAAATTAAACAATGTATCGCAATTTTTAAATAATGAAAGATCTTTCATTTGCGTGAATATTTCTCACTAAATACCTCAAGATTTATCAATTGAAGCCTTTGGTGAGCAAGTTACGTCATGGCCGCCATGTTGGATTGTTTAAACAAAGCATTTTTCTTATATACAATTCAAATGTCATCCAACATGGTGAGCATTCCATTGTTCTCTTACTCCCAGGGGAATGGTTGTACACAACCTATATGAACTGTATGAATGTATTTTCAAATTAGGTTATTGAAACAATATCTCTCGCTCTATAGATTTACAATTTTTGTAGTGTATTGTTTTTCATTTCGCTTCAAACCAATCATATACTCTGATCATGGAGGTGGATAGAGTATAGAGATCAACTATTTTGAACAACTTGCTTGCATGCTGATTTCTGCTTGTTATTTGTTGAGTGAGGATGTCTAACTGTAGAAGTCAAGATTTTCCTCGTGCTGATGAAGTTAGGGAAAGTTTGTGGTAGTAACGTTATGGCAAATGATACAGACTCGGCTTATTTTAACGAGATCGGCTGTAGGTAAAATTATTCCGTAGTTTTTAACTTGGTTGAAGAGAAGACATGAGAAGTTCTGTATAAGCCCCACAAGAAGGTGAATATTGATAATTAATGGATCGTTCGGAAGATCTTGCTGACATAGGATGCATTCGTGGTGATAAAACCTGAATTACGATTATGAAGATGTCGTGGTAAGGTTTACGTTCTAGTTAAATAGAAGAACTTAAATTGCTTTACTAAAAGTAGATATTTGTACAGTAATTAAGATTGTAATGCCTAATGGTCTGCAGTTA